GCCAGCATTGGGGAGCGTGGCGGGATCAGGAGGAGGAGGGGGGAAGGAGGAGGAGGTAGGAAGAGGGGAGACTGACAAGTGTGAGGAGGAGGAGGGGGAGGAGGTGGAGGAGGAACATTAGGGACACTCAGGGGGCTTCGACTGCCGTCTATCGCATCCCGCGAAGGGGGTGAGTGCATCCCCCCCTCGGAGCCAGAGGGCAAACAGTCGCGCCGCGCCGCCCTCTGGGTTCCGCATCCCACCCCCGGTAACCCAGCCAGCAACCGTGGCCACGAGGGGCCACGGCGGATCCTGGGGCGGGAGGGGGAGGCCGAGCCCTGAGGAGGCTCCGAGTGGGCCACGCACACCTCCAGGGTCATGTCGGGCCGAACGGAAGGGGGGGATCGGGAAAGGGGGGGTACGAAATTTGCTACATGCAGCTGGTTTCAGCCCCACCGAGGGGCCGATTCCTCGATACATGGCCGCCTCCGGCGCCGGGAGGCGCCGGGAAAATCAGCTACGTGAGCTGATTCTCAACCCCTATGTGATTTCGGGCCCTGCGAAACCGAAGCCGTTGACACGCTAAGCAGCGCAGAGGCGTACACGCTAAGTAGGGTCGGGCGAAACAGCCCCCCGAAATTCACGCGAAGCACCAACCACGCAGGACACACGCTAAGTGCGGAGCACTTAGCGTGTATAGGCATAGTCCCAACTTCACGCTAAGAATTATGATGTTTTATCCCACTTTAGCCTTGATCACCAGAAATCATTTCGAGCATCAAGAAAATACCAACACTGGATGATTTTCGCGTGTCGGGTCCTGGGAGGCGATACTCGTTCGACACTGTTTCGATACTGTTCTGGGTGCTCGAAATTATTTCTGGGATGTGGTCCTTAAGTACGATGCGAGCAACATGAGCTAATAATAGACCATGACCGTAGGACCTCCCCGATCTTCAGAAGCACGGCGGAGTGCTCTCTGAGGTCCGCCTCGTCGAAAGCCCTGACGCCACCTAAGCGCCGTCGAGGGACCGGCGACCTGCGCGCGGCAGGCCCGACATTCCTCCGTAAAGGCCTTGACCCCGTGAGCCTCCAGCGCCGCTGGATGCTCGAACTCAGGGTCACTGGCCCTCGTCAGCAGCTTTCAGGGGCAGCGATGGGGGGGCATATGGGCAGAGGGGGGGATGCATCGACCCGCCATCGCCCATTTCGCAGCTGGGGGCCCGATCGCACCAGCCTGCCCAGGAACGTGCGGATTCACGATCTGGGGCCTGTCGCCGATCTATCGGCGATGCATCGCCGATTCCAGGTCGAGGTGTCTCCATTTCTGCCAGTCCCCCTATGTCAGTCCCCCTCAGAATTACTGGCCCTCATTCGGAAACTGGAACATCTACATCACCAGTGGCGGGCTGCGTTTCAATCCCAGGACTCTTTCGAGGGTCGGGGACCACGTCGAGGTGGTGTGGGGTACGTATACTGATCTTTGGGGGCTCTTGAGCCATCTCGGGCAGTCGGATGGCCGAAAAACAGCAAATGCCCAAATCCGTCAAACACCTAGGGCACATGACTGACTTTGGCCTCTTTGGGCCTTCTTTGAGGCCCTCTTAGTGGCCTCTTGGGTCGTCTTGGGGACCTCTTCGGGGCCTCTTGGGCCTCTTGGGCCGTCTTGGTGGGCTTCTGGTCCGTCTGACGCCGTCGGATGCAGTCTTGGGGGTCTCTCTGGGCCGACTTGGGGCACTCTTGGGGTGCTCCAGGGCCGTCTTGGAGGCCATCTTTGGTGTCTTGGAGGCCTCGTGGGGCCGTCTTGGGGCTCCTTGGGGCCGTATTGGGGGCCTCTTGGGCCGTTCTGGGGCCATCTTGGAGGCATCTTGGGCGATCTTGAGGCGATCTTTGGGGGCTCTTGGCCGTCTCGGGCCCTCGGATAACCAAACATCAGCAAATGCCCACATCTTTCAAACACCGAAGCAGCATCAATAATTTTGGCCTGTTCGGGCCTTTGGAGGTTCTCTTGGAGGCCTCTTGGGCTGTCTTGGAGGCCTCTTGGGGGCCTCTTGGGCCATCTTGACGCCATCTTGGGCCGTCTTGGTGGCCTCTTGGGCGGACTTGGAGGCATATCGGACCCTCTTGGGCCGTCTTGGAGGCCATCTTGGACCATCTTGGGCGAACGTGAAGGCCATCCTAGGCCATCTTGGAAGCCATCGAGGGCCATCTCAGAGCCATCAGGGCGGGGAACGTTCTGGCAACCAGGTCTTCCGCGTAGCCGGCGGAGCGGGCCGAAGCCCCAGGGGAGAGTTCTCTTGGACAAAGAACCAAAACCAAACCGTAAGAAGTTCAGCACGCCAGGCACCCTTGTGATAAATCAACAAGGGGCGGCGGATCGAATGGCCTTTGGCCCATCCCGCCACCGGGCCTGTTTTGTGTGTGCGTGTGTGTATCAAGCCTCCGTCCCCCTTCCCTCTTTGCTCGCCGGCCAATTCGCTAGTTCGTGCCCCTATCTAGCTTCTCGCTGGAGCGGATTTCGCCGCCTCGCCGCTGACGATAAAGTGTGTATCAAGCCTATTGGATGTTCGTTGGGGTCTCGTGTGGGTCCTCGCGTGGACCTCTTGGAGGCAGTTTGGAGCCTCTTGGGGGCCGTTTGGGGGCCTCTTGGGTGCTCATTTGGGCATCTTGGGGGCCTCTTGGGGCCTCGTGGGGGGCCTCTTGGGTGCTCTTGGAGCCTCTTGGTGGGCCTCCTCGAGGCCTGTTGGAGCGGAAGGCTCGGATTTTCGGTTCGTGTTCCCTCTCTTGGACCCCTCTTGGGGCCCTCTTGGGCCTTCCTGGGGCCCTGTCAAAGCCCGAGCGGTAGATGAGGGGTCCTCCGGACCCTCTGGGGAAAGTGTGAGGGCTAGCTTGTTCTCCTCTCGCGGGTTCCCCACCGCGAGTCTCCAAGCTAGCTAGTGCCCAAACGGCAGCGGAGTGAGGCAAGAAGCACTGAATCAACACTCCCACAACTTAAAAGTTGCCTCAACTCCGACTTTGGGCTCAGCTTTGACTGAACACCTTCACAGCACACAGAACATGTCTTGGGCACGGCGCACGGGAAGCGAAAGCCACTCAGATGACGATCACCTAGTGGAGCCGGTCCTCCGAGGCTGACGCCTTGGACGTGGGAGCTCCCACTCGGCCTCGAGCCCGCCGCTCTCGACGAAGCGGGCATCCAACTCCCCATGGACATATCATCACCTGCTACAGAGCTCGCCTCCACAGCCACGATCGGAGCCTGATCAAACACACCAGTCTGCTTCCACGACTCCGGATCATCCTCGTTCAACATCTCCGGCTGCAAACCGCACTCCTCGACTAAGAACCGAAGGATCTTGTCGCGCCAGAGGGGAAAGTCGGCCATGTGCTCGCACACTGACACTCCTACGTCGCCAATCCCGCTGTGGAACTCCGATTCTCTGGGCAGACGTAGCGTCCGAGACGGGCGGCAGCTGGCCTGTGTCCCGCCAGCTCCTGAGCTGGGAGGGCCGTCCTGGCTCTCCGAGTAGCCCGCCGAGAACTCGTTCCAGGCCGGGAGGCGGAAGGAGTTCACCACGATCGATCCTCCTGGCGGGGCCGGCGGCGCCTGGTTGTTCTTCAGCGCCATGTGGTAGAGGCTCTCCAGTACCTTCAGGCGGTCGCGCATGCCATCCTCGAGCGCGGCCGGCGAGTGCAACGTAATATACCCCGTGCTGGCGTGGTACACCAGCGTGATCTGCGAGACGCTCTGCTTGCCCGACAAGCGGTCGTCCAGGACCCCCGCGCGGATCTGCACCTTGACCTTGTTGCTGGAGCCCTCGATGCTGCCTCCGCCAGCCTCCGCCAGGCCCTCCAGGAAACTCCTCACGCCATTCGCCGAGTTCTTCGCCTCGATCTTCACCATCTGCTCGTAGACTCTTCGCGGGCTGTGGGGCCGCGAACTGCTTCCGCAGGGCACGCTCTGCCGATGCTTGAGCCAAGACACTGCTCTCATCGGCGAGCTGGTAGGTTCCGTGGCGGACGCAACTTCGGAGAAGATCGGCGGGCTCCGCCTTATCCTTCGTGAGACAGTCCGCCAGCATCAGAGACGTGGGACCCCAACGCAACACAGCCCCAAGACGTGCCAGACTCTCCTTACTTATTGCGATATCTACTGCGCACCTCTTATCGTCAATCCCAGACGGGCTCCCCATCTTGCACACGTTGTCGTAGATACTCTTGCAGTCGATGACCGCCAGACTCTTAAACTTACTCAGATACCGGGCCCGATCTCCAAGAGTGAAGCCTCGAAAGAACCCCATGGCGAAGAAGCACATGACCCACTCCAGATGTCCGAGACCGTCGGTCATCACAGACGACTCTCCCGCCAACGTGGACTTGACCACCCGCTTCACCCGATATCTCCTCCAGATCAAGGGGCTCCACGGAGAAACCCTGCCTAGCTCCATGTCCCTGTTAGTCACCCCGATGATGTAGCCCCCCTGCGTGTGGCCCATGTTGGACATTTCTTTCGACGAGTAGTCTGAGTGGAGGATGAAGGTAAGCTCGGCGATCGGGATCGAGGGGTATCGGATCTCGAGGTCTGCAAACTGCTGAGCACGACGAGCCAACATATTTCCTTTCCTGATGTCACCGACGGTGGGGTGAGGCATCTTCTGTTGGTTCGAACTCACGAGGATGCTGAGGTCTGGCCGGGTCTGAGTCGCCAGCCAGTTCCCCCGCTGGTTGAGAGAGATGAAATCTTTTATTTCTGACGGGACCGCCAGAGCATCGGCACTTGCATGTCGGCGGGTCGACACCCGCTCCATCTCCTCAGACGCGTACTGGTGCTGCGTCTGCACGATGGTGTAGTCGGGGAGCTGCCGCAGCCGCGACCCGACAAACTCTGCCTCCTTCTCGTGCCACTTGCGATAGGGAAAGCGGCACCTCAGCTGCGACAAAGCCTCGGCCCACTTAGATCCCCGGCCTCCGAACACGCCGTCATCCACGTGCTGGCCGATGACCCCACACAGGTTGCCCGG